ACCATCAAACTTCTTGTGTAAGGCAACTTTTGGTTCTCTAATACTTGAAAGATGTTCTACCATGGATAGAGGGACATGATTTGGTACAGATGTTGAAGCAGTTCTAATCATTTCTATATCATCACTTCCTACCATTCTTGTTGATCCTTGTAGTAATAAGCTAAGTTGATGCATCACAAGCATCAACTCCTTTAATTGCTCTTGTATTTATACCATTGTACTCTTCATTTTAACAAGCTCTGCCATAATAACATTCAAAAAAATATCTAATACCACTCAAGATAAGAAGAAGAAACAACTTGAGGATAAAGAAAAAAGAAAAATAATAACAATTTAGAAGAGGGTAATCCTTAACTTCTAATATGCTTATGTCTTATTATGAAAAAGATGTAATCTATTCTGAATCAAGACTAGATAAAGCTCTGATACTGTAAGTGTACTCTTGTCAATTGGTCAAGGACATGAACTAAAAGATGATGCATAAATCAATGAAATCCATATCAAAGAAAGAGACAAAATAAAAATAAGGAAGTACATATATTAAAAGAAACTGGAATGACTTATTGTCAAGAGACAAGAAAACTTGAGATACTTGAAACTAGACTAGAAGCAAGAACAGAATTGACTAGAGTGAAGAGGGTTTCATTCTTGTCTCTATATATACTAGGTAACTATGGGCTACATAGTGATCTTCTATAGGACCTATAATATGTATTGACTTTGTAGAACACATGCCTTAACTTATAAGGGAAATTTTTTTATGTGTGGACCACATAGTTAATATAGTCTTCAAGCTAACAACATGTGTGGTACATGGCCAACATGTTGACCACGTTTCTAATCCAAAAACTCAATTAAAGTCACATGTAAAGTCAAAGCAGTGTCTATAAAGCTTTTAAGAAGCTTCTATAGAATATATTATAGAATTAACTTGCTTTTAACTACTTCTACTTACTTCTACCTATTTATACAGGTAATTATTTGCTTACATGTATATGTCTGTGATAGTATTTAAAGATTTAGAGTTTTTTTTATCATATTTTGGATGTTTTTGGAAACTGAAGACTTATATATTTGGTGTAATTGCTTTTAAAAGTCACACACACACACACATATATATATATATATATATATATATATATATATGTATGCTTTCTTGAGGCAAACTCTCTCTACCCTCATAACACCACATAATTAGCTTGTTCTGCAAGCTACCAACACATGGTTAATTTTTTGATCAAGTTTCAAAACTATTAATCAATTACAAACATATGTAAAGTCAAAGCAACATTTATGAACCTTCTCTAGAATATATTATGAAATTAATCTACTTTTATTTACTTTTACTTACTTCTACTTTATCATATAGATGTTTATTAGAATACGCATATATATATATATATATATATATATATATGACATTCTATTACTATAAAAGAGTATTCTATTGGATAGATAATAAAATAAAATCTCTAAAAATAAAGTTTTTATTTTTTTTATTTTTTATTTTATTATATAAAAATTTAATGAGTAAATTATGATTAATTTTAAGACTGTATAATTGATTAAATAAATTCATTTTATTTTTTTGTATTTATTTTTCTATTCTTCTTGTTATTATTTTGTCTCATTTTATACAACTAATTACATAAAACTCTTAATTGAGGCTATCTTGTCATTAAGATTGAAAGAAAAATTTTATCTTCACATATTTCTAATCATATTGTACAATTTCAACTAAAAATATTCCAATAAATACCACAAATTCTAACCCTTTAATAATATCGGTAACTTTAAAAAGATATTATAAAAAATACTTATCATATCTAATGTATATTTTTATAAAAATATTGGTAGTGAATATAAAAACTAGAGGTTATAGACTTTTACTAATACTAATAGAAATTTAATTAATTTTTGTTGTTTCTAATTTTATTGAATAAAAAAAATAAAAAATAAAAAATCATAATTGTATAAATTATCTTTACAAGAATTATTTCTTTATTAATAAGTTAATTATAATAAAACATTGGTACATTAGATTTTGATGTTATGGATTAAATCTTTCATTAGATTTATATTTGCACTTTTAGACAACCATGTAAAAGTTCAACATATAAAAACATGTCTATATTCAAATTGGTAGATAGAAATAAAAATTTAAAGGACAAAAAGTATAGAGGTTGTATTTAGTTTGCTAAATACAATGTCTTTACATGCAATATTTATAGAGGTTCTTTAATAAGATTAAAAAATCTAGCAAATAATATTAGCAATGATAAAAGGAATCATAGCAATATGCATAGAAGTGATAGATTTAACAAATGATAGTTATATTTGTTAAGAAAATAAAATCTATATATATACTTTTACATATAAAGGCTATCAATAATGGAAGGTCATGTCCTATTAATACATATATGATGTCATGCCAATACATCTCAAAACATATATATATATATATATATATATATATTTTAGAATTTGAACTTAAAAATTATTACTTACTAAATATATTTTGAAGCTATACCTTGATTAATTATGTAGCTAAAAGTAAGTACTTAAAGGTTTAGATAAAACTATAGAAGTAATAATTAAAACATGCATTGATTTTTATAAAGAAGTTACTAAATTTTTTAATTTAAATTTAATTAATTAATTAATTAATTTTAAAATTTTAAATTAATTTTTAAAAAATTGGAATTCTGAAAATTTTATTTTTATTCAATTTAATATAATTATCACTAATCTTAAGGCTTGAGTTATAAAAAATAATTATTATCAAATCAAAAATCATATTATATTATATTTTAAGATAAATATATATATATACTTTGATTTTATTTTTTATTTTTTATTTTTTAACATAGGTTTTATTTCAATATTTAGAATTTTAATTTTTTTTTTAGAATCATAATTATAATATACTTAAGTTCTATATTGTTTAAATTTTTTTTTACCTAATTTAATCTCAATTTTAATTTTTTATTAAAATAATTATAATATTTTTCAATAAATATTCAAGAGACACATTTTATATGATATAAATAACAATAAAATAACATGAAATAATTTAGTATTATTAATCTCAACTATAATACATGTATTTTTTATCATATGTATTCATTATGTCATTTGATATTACTAATGTGAATTAATTCTAAACTTGTATTCCTTGATTCTTATTTTAACATAAGTTTAAAAATTAATTTTAGATATGGATATACTTAGTACCAATTATAATAAGGTAGTATTAGCAATGTCAAGACAAGACCTATTACAAATTGGTATTGCTAGTGCCACCACAATGTTTTTTTTTACTACCACCACAACTTACCATCTACCACATGTTATCTATACCCTTTATCAATGCTAAATAAAAAAATTGATTTAAAATATGTATATAGTATTTTTAGTATTTTTTAGCTAAATATTTTAGTAATATTTTGTAAAAAATAAAAATTATTAAAATTTTAAATATTTATATATAAAATAAATTTTACTTTCTATATAATTTGAAAAAATATTATATATTTATATATATAATATTAAAAAAAATAATTAAAATAAAAAAATAAAAAAATATGTTAGGTATGTGGTGGATTGTAATGGTAGTAGGAAAAATTGTGGTGACAATAGCAAAAACTATGGTGATATTAGCAATATCCTTATAAGTTCCATAGCAAGTGTCATCAAATTTAATATGATGTTAAAAAAGCAATAGCTGGTTTAGTTTACTGCCACACATTGAGTTTGTAATTCTCAGACTCAACCACTTATATTTCAAATTAAATTGTATCACTATTTTAATAAATGCATGCATTGCATTAAAAATTAAAATAAAAAACCCAAAATGTAACCTTGGTTAGAAAGTAAAGAACCCATTATTCAAGCTTCTATACACATTTACACATATATTTAAATCCATTCATACATATACAGACATACTGTAAATGCAACCACGGAAGCACGTGGTAGTGTCACGTATGCAAGCCATGCCCAAGCCTGGAATCATCAGTATTCTAGAAAGTATAATTATTGCACCGAGACAGCATTAATATTGTATGACCACGCATCCTCTCACTCACTCACCCCCTAACACACTTATCCACACACATTTGTATGCACGCGGATGCTGCTGGTGCTGGTGCTGGTTTTGTTGATTACAAGGCGGGATCACCCCCACCAAACAGATACAAATAAGGAAAATCTGCAGCACCACGCCTGGTGCACAGATCCTGACAAAGGAAGAGGAAAACCGAGAGCCAGAAGCGATGTGATGGCGTCTCCGTAGCTTGGAACCTCCCAACATAGCATGCCTTCCAGCGGAGCCCGCTCTATCTTTCGTTTTAGATGCCCTCCACGGCCTTTGATTTCCACCCAGGCCTGCCACAATCCCGCATGCGTGCTAGCACTTTCTGTGCAGCGCTCGTGACCTGGTGCGCATCTCACCGCATGGAAATTGAATGGTGCGGTTAACAAGATGACGATCGCAACTGCGACGACGATGATCGCTGGTCACTGGTCTCGGTCTCCGGCACTCTCTTTGTTCCGCTGACGTCCTCCTGTGCAGGGCCTCATGCAGGCACCCTGTCTGTGGAGCTGGGGTAAAACTCTTCGTATTTGTTGGGTTTCTTTCCGACCTTGCGGACCCGGTGCATTGTTTGCGGGTGCTCAGTTGCTGGCGGTTCTATATTTTGCAAGTGGTGGAGACCAGCGGACTTCATCTTGACTTGAATATTTTGTCATGTTCTAATGTCTCCACCTCCCTCGGAATGGGGAGGAGGCGTGCGCGATGCCACCCTTGGTCCCCCCTTCCAAGATAATGTACTAGTTACCTTTCGTTCAGGGTAAATTTCCAGGTTATGGCTGCTAGTGACCTGAGATCCATTAAATTTCATGAAGCTTATTTGAAACATGACCATAGAAATGATCCTCATCGAATGATTATTGAAGTCCGGTGGTTGGTAGGCGTGCTATGACTTTGACCAGAAGGAATATTGCAGTGAATAAGGACAGTCATGTGCTGATTTTTATTTCTAGAAAGAGCTCTGTATCATGTGGGGTGGTTTGTGTACAATTCAAACAGAGATCCATCCAGTTCCAGACCGATTACTAGAGCACCATTTCTAAGAGCCAACAACGAGCCAGAAACTCCTCTGAAGCTATTTTACACACGTTTCCCCAACCATTAAGTTGTAAAGATCCTCACAGCCTGAACTAGGAGCATGAGCTAGAATATGCATGCTTAAACCCATGTTCAGGAAATTAATCACGTATGAGGACTCTCAGATCAAATTAGTTGCGCTGACTTAAAATAATCGAGCATAGCTGCCGAAGTGCTTGTACACCATCTCTGGAATGGTCGGATATGTGGTGATCATGCACTTGCCGCTGATTTTGAAGTAAGCGGATGACGAAACGATGTCGGTTTAGAGACTAAGCATACTCACACAAGCTGCCGTTCGTGCTTTGGTTGAATTCTTTGAATTCGTAACACTCGGAGCAAGTTCATCCACTTCCTGCAACCTCAATATGTATTCCCAGGAGGAATGGCATGTCGCGTTATTCTCTGTACCACCTCTAATTCTTTAAGGAAAATAAGAGACTCCGAGGGATTAAGCAGGTTTTGAAGATGTGTTATATTCGTAATAGCACTGTTATTTCCCCACCAATTCATGGCGAATCGGAGTCCATACTGACCGACTTGTGCCCAGATGATAGACTCGCTTCCATTTCGAATGGCCATATGAGCGGATCCAACCCGTACGCGGATTGGTGGTGACGAGTGCTTTGGTGGAGGTAAGTTTCCATGGGTGCGTCCCCATCGCCCATGACCTGCTCCCGTTCCTCCTCGGATGCCGTAGTCGTTGTTGATGTGTCCATGTTGTTCAGGTAACTGTGATTGTCGCTCTCGTTTTCTCTTCCCCTCTTGCATGAAGCTGCGCCTTGTATTGCCCCTGTGCACCCCCCACCCACTGAATTCAATTCTGTTATAATGCTGCCGTCTTCACAGGGATTCATTTCAGCAGTGGTGCGTTTTTTAAAATCTGGACTTCTGATGCGGCTACCTTGAAATGTAGCTTGTTCGTCATCATTGGCCTCAGCAGACTTGTCCTTTCCCTGGGACGGTCCAGCGTGAGCAGCACTGCCTGCCGGAACCCGAGTGGACCGGTTCCGTCGCTGTGCAGTACTGGAGCAGGTGTGTTTTTCCACGTATGTGACTTCAAATACTGTGGGGTCCGTATCGGTAGGTTGCACCATCTTCTTCGCACGGCACTCCTTCACGCTACACTTGTAGTATCCTCTAATGTTCCCATCCCCCAAGGTTAATCATAAGAGAACTCGGCCGTAACAAGTTATCTTTCAAGCAAAGACTATAAAAGCACAGAACAAAAAAGATCTCTACATAACACGTCAACGTTTCACAATCTAAGCTACGAACACACTCCGGTTAGCCAGAATACCATAAGATGCACAACCTGCGCATGAAGAGCACAATAACCTCTCTCTCTTTCTTTTTCTATCTCAAACTGAAAATGTGCACCAACCTGCAATGGTTAGAATTTTGAATGGACTTGTTGCCATATTTTTTCCAGCCTCTATGGCCATCATCAGGAATCCCCTTCTTGGCGTCGTTCAGTTTTTGTAACACCACCTCCACCTTCGTTTCATTCCCGCTCAATTTTCTGGGAATGTTGCCAACTGTCATCAGTACGAGGACATGACAATTCTCTCATGTTGGATAATTTTTTATAAAAAAAACAACAAGTATGGGAAATGATTGTCACCTGACATCAGATTTCCCACCGTTATTTCTCGCTCGGTTCGCTCGGAGAGGCGCCTTGTTTATGTAGCTTTGTTCCTCTGGAACAGACTGATTCTTGTCGCCACTAAACGTCGAACTCATTCCCCCATTGCTGATTTGAAAAGACGACGAACACTGTCGAGGATCCGACGGCAAAGGAGGGGGTAAGCTCGTAGAATCCATCGCCCACCCTGTCTCCGCCAACATCGGCCATTCTGAATGATCAACCTGCATGCTCACCGGCAAACGGGAAAATTTTTGTCCTTGTTGAGGCTTCTGCCGTTGTTGCGAAGATGAGTCTTCACCTGCATCATACCAGCACAATTGATCTTGCTCCATGACTAACCCCAACAGATTTCCTTCACACGACAGAAAACTGGGATAGCTTCAAGCATACACGACCATCGAACATTGGGCTCGCTCTGGACGTCGTCAGCAAGTCTACTTAGAATTCAAAGACTCGGATTCATTTAGTGGTTGACGATGGCTATTGACACAGCACCTTGCCAAACTCATGGACTCGGGCAGTTTGGCACGACTTGCTCACGCGTTCTACGTGACCTACCCACAATTGACAAGTAGCCCGAGTCGCCTAAATTTGTAGACTGTTTTCCTTAAACCCAAGCTTCCAGGCTAACCAGCGCATTTAATCATCTGCATGCCAGCTTGCTCATGAAATCTGAGTTGCAATCAACATCTATTCACCCAACGGGTCGGGCAGTTAGGACATAACAGAAGTTCGATCAGTACCTGGTGGAGCCGGGGGAGGCTGGAGCTGGGGATCGGAGTGGTCGTGAAAGAGAAGATTGTTTGGATTCCATGCGCTGCCGCTGTGGCTTTGGACAGTGAAGGGGTGTGGGGAGAGTTGATCCTTACGCAGCAGGACGCGAAGAGGACTCAAAGGAGTGGGATCATTCAGTCTGGGTAAGGAATGCGAATTTTTCACTTGAAGCTTTGCCGCTACGGCTGCTGCTGCTGCTGCTGCAGATGTGGCATCGCTGCCTTTCGGGTAAGAGGACAATATTGCTGCACTCGATGAACTTGCCATGGATTGCTGCGCGGAAGGGGAGGGAGAAGAGGAAGCGGACGAAGTGTGCAGCACGATCTCCCGGAGGCGACAGAGCGCGAGGTGGCACCAGTCCATGGAGTTTTCTATCTTCGATTTAAGTACGCGCAGGACAGGAGGAGAGATAGTGTTCAGGGAAGTGGCCTCGACGAACCCCGCCGCACCATCTGGGAAATTCACTGAGAGCAGTTTCAGCAGTTCTTCCTGATGCACGATGGCTCTGCTCAGCATTTCCTCCACCTTCTGGACACAATGCTCCGACGCCCACTGGCCCCCTCGCCAACGCGGCACGTTACTCTGCCGCATTGAAATCGCCATCTTCTCAACCTCCACAATCTTTGTAACAATCTTACCTCTTTCTGTTCACCGCATGTCGAGCTATCCACCGCAATAGCTGCCAACGGGTCCCGCACCTGGGTCGTCCGCAACGCAGACGCAAGACTGGCTACCTCCTTACTAAATCCTAGCGATTCCTCGTAGACAGCAGCAGCAACAATATTTGCGAAATTATCGTCTACGCGCATTTCACCCACGCTGAGCTGATCGCTTCGAGAGGCTCAAGTCCGGGACCATCACATTCACGGCTCACAATCTACTGGCATGGCTGATTCTTTCTACGCTCGTGCACGATGCGGGGTGAGAATTATTGTGGCAATTCGCAGCTTGTGGAAACTGTTCTGACTTATTTGAGCTCGTCCAGGGCAATTACCGGGTCGATGCGAGGATTTCTCCGCCAAGTGGATTCCCACGTCGGTACGCACCTTCTGCCAACTAGGATTTTCATTTCGTGGGAGCTGGCACTCCCCTTGTCAACTGACTCCAATGCCCCATCACCATCTCGTGGCTCCGATCCTTTTCACTCCTGCTGTTTGGTAACCAGCACTAAATAAATTTAAATGTTAAATGATTCAACCGATAAATACAGGAAAAAACATCCGTAAGCCATTTGACGGCTTCATAGACTGATTTATTATTCTTTGCAAATCTAGAGAAGGTGACGCTTATCTTGGTCTCCTGTCTAGTTCTAGGCTCTTCTCAGGTCATCATTGTCACGAAACTATAAAAGTATTATGTATAATATAAAAATAAGCAAATACTCTAGGAAAAAAAATGGGGAGCTTACCCATTAATGGTTTTTTTTGAAAAAAATTGTAAAGTTCTGGGTCTTCACGAGAATGAAATTTCAAAGGTTGGAGCCAAAAGCTTTACCATTTCTTTCCCCAATGTCTTTTAAACAGTATATGATCTTCAATACATACACTGCATGCACTCCATTTCACTAGGAGATCGCACCTCAGGGGGAGACTCTATGTTTGGATGAATAAAATCCCCACATTTTCATCATAAAAATAGCATATCATCCTTCAAATTTAGCCAACATTCTCTAACTTAAGTGCATTCTATGTGAGTGGAGATGGTTTAGCTGCAAAGCCAACCAAGGCAAAAGGAAATCTCAACTTCTACACCATATTTTGGAAGGGCTAAACCACATAAACAGATAGTCTTAGTTGCTTTCTAAAGTTAGTGAACCCTCTCTACTTACTTGCTTCCTTATGTAAGGGATGCTCCACAAGTGCCAATGTCCTTGTTGAGAAAGATGCATTCATATCAAATCTTCTAGACAACCATAAATTTTAAAAATAGTGTGATTTGATGCAAATAGAGGTATTTTCAAAGTGCAATGTGATAATGGTGGACATTTTTTTGAGGAGGATAGTTTAAGAAAAATATCTACTTTTTATGAATTTTTTGAGGTTTTTTTTTAATTTTTTTTTGAAAAAATAACCAATAGTTGAATCTTGATTTATAATTCTTGAAATTAAAAGGATTAGATAATTGAGAAAGTACACAACTTTATATCCATAAACTTAGATTATAGGTTGATTGGTGTTATGAACATCATTTAATCACTTACTGAAGCTATTCCTGAAAATAAAATAACCTAATCAATTAATAGATATACAATTGTGAAATAATTATTTAAAATATCTATTTTTAACCACTATTTGTTGATATTGTGATTTCAAGCAATCTAAACACCAAATTTCTTCTGTATTTGTTTTCATTGTTACACCACTATCACTTTATTTTTATATTTCATGCAAAATGTTTGTAAATAATCATGTGGTGAGTTTCAAAACTCCCCCGAGGACTTGCGGGGTGCGGTGGCCCACTGTGGACTTGGACCTGGTGGTGAGGGAGGACTCACTGGACACGGTTTCTCGCTGTAGTGCTTGCTCGTCGCAAAGGTGGTCTTTTCACCTGGCGTTGAATCCTTCTTTGCGTCGCTTTCAGGTCCTTCTCTCATCCTGGGATGGTGCATGAGCTGCATTGCAGTTTGTCTTTTATATTTACTGCAAGTGGACTGGGGTTTAGTACCCCCCTGCCTACTATGCTCGCAATAGCGATGCGGCGTGTGCAGATTGCAGCCAAACCTGTCGGGCACCCGTTGACTCTTTCTGAGAGCTTTGTAGTTTCGTTTACTAGATGGTCGGCTGCAGCGTTGAGGTTGCTTCATTGTGCAATGTAGTGTTTGAGTTAATGCTTACACAAGGTTTAAGGAAGGTTTGGCAATACTTTCTTCTCTTGGGTCGTAACGAGTAAGGATACGAATATCGGCTGTCAGGCATTTGTTGATCAGGTGTTGCTTGATCAACATGTGACCGGGTTGCTCCACATCCTGAGTCCCAACTCACAACGAGGTAAATCATTGATTGAAAGGACCCACTTCGTTCGAAGTAATCCCTCACCTGAAACCTCTAGTTCCTGTGCCATATTGACAGGATATTACCGCAAAGATCGAACCAAAAGTTGGGATTAAGTGGCGACTTGTGCCATCCTGGAATCAAAATTCAACTGCAGCAAAAGTCTAGACAATTCAACGTTTTACAGAGCATTCGTGGCATTTGTAGAAGAAGCATTTTATTTAAACCTCGGGTCTAAACAAAATTGGGAACATGGAAATGCAAAGTTCCGTAAGCCCACCTGACCATGCCAATCAATCAACCATACCAATCTATTACCTCATCAAATACATCATATGTACATTTCTTTATCTCTTTTTTTCGAAATTGTTCCAGTCTATCTCGCCAGCATGCAATATCTTTGGTTTTTCGTCACACAAAATCATTCGCGAAGGCCCTTCGAAATCCGTGACACCACGTCAAAGTGCATCAAGCCCTCGAAAGCTTCATGAACAAGCCCTTTATGAGCAAAAAAAGTACAGTACAATATGATGTACTTGTGTAGGAAAAATAAAATAAAATACGGGACATGAAAAAATATATATATATATATATATATATGGCAGAGAAATGACTGGCCTGAGGTTATTCTATGGAACCGTGAAATTTATTGGGTACACGAGTAGATCATGTTCTGCATTATACAGTGTTAGCTGTATGTAGGGGGTGAGGAATAGACTATATTCTTTGCATACAATTGCAAACAAATCAAAATGTGCTTCCTGGTTACAATGTGGGGGCTCAATTACCTACTTGAATTGAACAGGAATTGGCATAGCTCACCCCTGTCCAGAGGTTCAGGTCAAGCACACATGATATGCTGTGTATGAATTCCTGCAAATTCAAAGTATCTTTTGCCCTGAGTTGAAAAATGCTGCTATTTCTTGCATGCATTTTGTAAAAAAAAGTAACATAAAAATAAAAAATTGAATCTCACAGAATACTCTATTAATCCATAAGCTAATAATGTATATACTGTCAAGTGTATGATATATATATATATATATACTAAAGATTGAATGCTTCTGTATTTTTTTGTTAATAGTAATATGTTTAGGTAAAATCAATGTTTTCTATAAATAGAAAATTTAACCACTAGGTACTGTTTGATTCGGTGGAGGATAGTGAATCTTTGTGGAGACAAACTGTATTTTGATATTTTGATAATCCACGCTAACTTTTTTAAAAATACAGTTTGAAAGTTCAAAATAAAATGGATTTCTAGCTCTAAATGCAGAAACATGTGCGTAATAAAATCTTAGGACAAGATCGTACAGTCTTGTATTGTGGTACATGAATGTATTTTTATGTTTACCATTTATGATTTCTGGTTTAAAAAATTGCATCAAATCGAACTTTGCACAGACACAGAAAGATAAGTCTGCGAAAATAGTGTTAAAAGGAAATGCCCATATTTTTATTGGAAGTGGTACCATATAATTAAATTCTTCCTGTACTCCCAGATACTCGTGTACATGTTGAGTCATCATCAATCGGAGATTGTTTGTATTAACTACGTCCAAATGCATGGACATGAGGAATCAGAACTCTTCACTTGCTGCGGGATCTCTTTCTATCAACGGAATGAAGAGTGGGAATGGATTGTTATAAGACTGGTTCAGAATGTCGCCAAGTTATACAATGACATCCTTTTGTGATAGAGGGTGTGGACTATCTATATGTACATATATAAATATATTTACATATTCACGAATTAGCTACATCAGGGGTCAATGCACTATCTGCTAATTGTGAAGACATCTCAATGTTCTGTCTTACTGACCACTACCACAACAGTAGTCGTCATTGCCAGTTCTAGAACAAAGAAATGGGTCTTCATACAACTCCGAATTAGCCCCGAAAACGGGCTTCAGGACCCTGGTCAATTATCCTTAGGCATAGCTACAGAAACAGAATCTGCACCAGCATGAAAAAGTAGGATCCTTTGGCATACAGGAGGAATGTGGAGATTTCCATCTTCCGCACTTCTCGCGATTCATTCACATCAAACACATACCAGGTTGATTGTCTTTTGGCTTCCGACACATGGGTTGCATTAGGAGATGGAGTGCAACAACCTGAAGCTTAACAGCCTACATCTGTTTTCTCTAACCTTGACGATGTGAATGACGATCATGAATCATCTACAACTCAGGCATGCAAGCAAGCACCTCCTCATCACACAGTAGTTCAAAGAATAGTGCATTCACGTTGTCTCGAAGCACAGAGACTCAGTTTCACAATCCTTCACAAACTGCTTGACAACTGCTGATGGGCTGGCACAAAACCTTACTATGGCTCTTGCTTCAACTAGTTTATTGAAAGCGTTACCCAGCGGCTGGTGCCGGCTTCGATTCCAGCACACTAACTTTGATACATCACGGCGATTGTTATATACCTGGAAGTGGGTGGCTATCAGTATTGATGCCCTATAACCTGGTCTTCTTGTGAATTCGAAGGAGAACTCTAGGGGTAGACAGCTTCATAAGACGCGGTGATCGTCCTTATAGGGATCTTACAGGGTGATGGGCTGACAGTAGCTTTCGATGGACGCTTTTACAGCATTTAGCAAAATCTGAGTGTTCCTCGCAATGGTGGACCACAGAGGCTCAGGCTTGCCAGTTCCATCAAGGATACCACCCACAAGCCTTGCAAATTCCTGCACCATGAGGGCCTCCTGTGGCAGCGAGGTCATGACTTGGTGGACTTCCTCACGAGCTCCCCAACCGATCGACCTATCCTGCCACGTCGCGGCTTCCTTAACTCGATATGAGCAAACGTCTTCCTGTCTGGGGATAACGAAGTCGTCGATTTCTAAAGTTCCTTTAGAACCCACACAGATTGCTTTCATTACCATATCTCCCAAGAAGGAACACCGAAAAGTGCCCATCCTGCCGTCTGGCCATTCAAAGCTTGCTCCACACGAGGTTAGGACACCTGTGTCGCTTAATTTTGAGCCTGGATGTGCTGTGACTGTCTTGGGCATTTGGAAATCGTAAGCCCAGAGGACAAATCGGGTGCAATACCAACCTATGTCGCCGAGGCACCCTAAACCATCCAAATGGGGTTGGCCACGAATGTCGCTCGTCCATCCCGGTTGTACACCCAAGTTGGTGATGAACATTGCTATCACCTGCGCATAGACCAGGGCATTGATTCAAGGTGTTGAAGTCATTTACCATCACACCATAAGAATCATGTGAGGTACAATAATTACATCAGAAGAATCGTGCTATCTTATATTTAGGGTAATAAAGTTTAGAAAACCTCACGCAAATTCAGTAGTCCTTTGCGTTCGGGAGGATGCATAATTCGTTATTCAGGCATTTGAAATCACACAATGTACAAGAATCTTGGAGAACAATAGCCGCACGAAAGGAGAAAGGTAGAGAGAAAATTGAAGAAGGGATACCTCTTGGATATCGCCGACGACATCGCGATTATGCAGAACTTGATGCATTTGAGCAAGGCGAGGGTGGTGCATAAACATAGTGCCATCCATGAACTGCAAGTGGTTTCTGTCGATTACCCCTAGAAATGCGTCAAGCTCTTCAATCGTGTGTGACACAGGCTTCTCCAGCAACACATGCTTCTTCTTCTCTGCGGCCTTCGTGACCCACTCCAAATGAAGGCCAGTCGGCAGGGGAATGTACACCGCATCCACGTTCGGGTCATCCAATACTCCGTCGTAACTGTCGTACAGCTTCGCATCAACGGGGATGTGGTTCTTGGCAGCATACCCTTGCGCTTTCGTCAGGCTACGGCTCCCGAGAGCAGTGATCTGAATTTCAGGTAAGAGGAGCATACCACGGATGAGCTTCTCGGCGATCCCGGCACAGCCAAGAATCCCAATTCGCACCCTCCCCATCTCGATGGATTCACACAAACCCTAAAACCCTTCACAAACCAAGCTAGATTCTATAGTCCCTCCGCCTACCAACTGTTCTCTGCAATCACTGCCTCAGTTGCGAAGCATACTATCAATGCATGCAACTCCCTTCAAAAACTGCGACTTCTAGGGAAATAGGGAAAATATTATTTATATATATATATATATATATATAAATATTTATATTTATGAATATATTCCCCTCAAATATGTCTAAATATCAAGAATACCCTTTTATTTTCATTGCAATTGCATTAGTATTCAAATTGTGGCTATTTTTGGAGTGGAAGAGGTTGCTGCCTTGAGCGAAATATATTCCAGGTTAGTGATTTCTATCTCACCCATCACTTACCTTGTTGATTTTATATTATATTTTTAAGTTTATGTTTTGAAATTTTTCTTTAATATATCAAAATTTAAAAATAATAATGATAATAAGAAAATAAAAATGAAAAGTCAAATAATATATAAAATTAAGATAAAAATTAAAAATCAAATATTAAAATCAATAAAAATTAAAATAAAATAACTTAATTGATATTTAAATTTACTTTATACTTATATATTTACTTTTTTATTATTCAATCTTATTTTCTTTATTTCATTTATTTTACTATCTTATTTTATTTTTATTTTTATTTTTACTTTTAATTATCTTGTTTCTATTTTATTGTTTACTATTACTATTACTTGTATTTACTTATATTTTATTTATTTATTTATTATTTTTTTGGTGCATAGTAAATTTTGTGTATTAACATTAGATTAATATTAATTGTTTGTATTTTCAATATTGTTGCTTCTAACCTTAAATAATATTTTATTAGTCAAATATTAGTGTTGGAATTATTTTGTTGTCTTCTTTAAGTTGATTGTCTCTTCCAAAGCATAAGGAGTGGAGTTCAAACATTACTTCAAATATGAAAACCAACCTTAGTAAGTTTTAGACAAAAGCAAGAAAAGAGTATGGCTAGGCAAAATTAGGTGAGTTTCAAACTTTAGCTCTTGAAATTTATTTGAAACTTTAGACAAAAGCAAGGAAGGAACATGGCGAAGCAAAATTAGGTAGATTCCAAATCTTAACTCTTCATTTTTATTTGAAATTTTAGATACATTTAGGAAAGAAAATGACAAGGCTTACTGTCCTAAAGATAATATCTTAACTATTCTATGACAATGTAGTATAATTGAATATTAAAATATTTAATTATATACTCCAAGAATTTCTCCAATCTATTACTTTTGTGATGAGAACTTGATTGTGTTTGTGATATGCGCTTTCAATTTTCAAATATTTTGTGGGAAGTAAAGTTAGATTGATAGTAGGCATGACTTCTTTTTGGTATTGAATCTATACTAGTGGAAAATAATGACCCCCATGAGGCAAAGCTAATTGTTGCACGTTGCCATACAAGTTGCTTTTTATTCAATCCATCAAATCTAATCTACATATTTAAAATTTGATACTACTTATACTACTCTTAGCCTTATTTTTCAATCTCGAATTATAAATTAAAGTCCAATTAATAGATGATTCGACCATTTTAAGATGTGCACAAGATCTTAACTTGGTCTTTAATTGGACCACATGCATCACTTGTAAAAGAGATTTAATTATTGAGTGATATCAGTAATTTGAGATCGTCACAAGATCTCATCTTATTTTATAATTAAATCACATGCTTCATAAAAAGATAAAAAAAAGAAAGGATTTTATATTATTTCATAAATTAAAAATAATTTAGAATCTACGTTTTTTTTTCTTTTAAATTGCCTATTAGGTCTATTTGCCATAAAGAAGTTATTTAGAAATTGTATACTTGGTTGTATGTCACCTAGAGTTAAGTTTAAGATAGCTTATCTTCTTACTGGCATTGTTTTGCAATTTGGACGTATTTTACAACTCGAAATAGAAAGAAAACTTATAATTTTAGAAACTTACTTTTTAGAAGATCTTTGTGACAATATGTCATGAACTTTTGTTGGAATGGAGTATAGTATAAGGCATCCTTCAGAGCTTCAAATAGAGCCTTTACCATTTCCAACTACAAGGGCTAATGTAGCAAATGAAGATAACTATAACTTCCAAACCAATACTCAAATCGATCCAATAATTTTGCTTAGGAGATTATCAAATATATTATCTTTCAAATTACAAGAGGCATCAATTCCACTTAATCTCTCAAGATTCAGTAGATCTATCAATGAAGACCTAGAAATCCATATAAAAAAGTTTGTAGAGATATTTATTACTAATTTAGTAATTAATTATAGGAACTATTTAATATAGTTTTTAATAATCTTGAGGAATATACTTGATATAGATTCTATATAGAAGGAACATTCATTAAATGAGAATAACTTCTAGTAGCCTTTCTTTGTTAATATAGATTTGTGATTAGCCACAAGAAGCCCTTTTAACCTTGATAACTATTAAATAAGGTCTTTCTAAAGATATCACTTCTTATATAAGGTGATTTTGGATAGTAAATATTTGATATGTTGATAATTTTTTAAATGAAGATACCATAAGGCATTACTTTATCCATGGTTTTTTCATGCCTTCTATATTTTGAGATATTCTAAACAAGAGACCTAAAAATTTAGGATCTATTTAAGCTACTTTAGGAGTAGAGATCATTGATAAGAAAAATGATTGTATGCTTAGAAGGATAGAAGAACCAATACATGCATTTATATCCTTATAACATTAATCTATAGAATCCTATCAACCTCTAGTCTTAAACTACTCACAACCTTCTACCTTTTCTTTGCCAATTAGTAATTCAAAATTGTTAGCTATACAAGCCTTACATAATTAAATTCAAATAAAAATCTTCAATGATCTTAGATTAGAAGAATTTAAAAGTGAAGTAAGATAAATTAATGATGTATTTAAAAATGAAATGATAAAAACTATAAAGGCCATTAGTGAATAAATGTCTTGCTGTATTAAAAATCAAAATCCAATTATAGAATCTAAATACCATGAATTGGAAATAAATACCTCTAAATTGTGGTATATAAATTATAGATAAGTGAACCACACAACACAATTTTCTCCATAATTCTTGCAATACAATCCATGGAAAAAAATCAATCTCAACCTTATAAGCCTTGCCATCAATTAAGACAAGTAGGTCCTAATTTTCCTTTAAATCAAAGGAATAGTATTATAGTTTATCATACTTACAGAAAATCACATTAAATAAGTCAATGTTGGATTAAAAATGAAATTATGTGCTCTAATTGTAGAAGGTTTTACCTTATAAATTTTTATAGAAGATCCAACCAAGCTATTTCATCAACTTTGAGAGATTATAATAATCAAATCAAAGAGAATATATGGAGAGTTAAATTTATGGATCTTATTATTACAAAGGATCTATGAAATATATATTATGACCTTTAAGCAATGGTCAAAATCATCACCTTTTTATAATAGTTCAAACCAATTAGAAAACTATGCAAGGATCTTTAATATATAATCAAAACCAACTCCAAAACCAAAATCAAAACCAACAACTACAAACTTCTCAAGATATTAATTACATGATGGCTCAATCTAATGTACCTTCTATATCAAATTCACTACCTCTTTAATTTAACTTAGTAAAATTTGATAGCAAAAAAATCTCCCTTGATAATACCTATTTGCCTTCTTTAGTTGTAATTAGAAGTATATGTACTAAAAGATTAATAAACTTAATACAACTTGATGAAGTTGAAATATTGGTGGATACTTCAAAAGAGTAACTCAAGTTTGTAGAATTGTCAAAAAATACTAAAAGAATAGCTAAAGAATTGAAAGAAAAACAATATTTTTTTTTAATTGAATCCAATTTAGAAGAATATCAATTTTTAGGCAAAGAAAGGCCTTGAATTCCTAATATCTTTTTAAAACAACAAATAGCTAATAGAACCTTCAATCTTGTAAAATCTTATAATTTATAGCAAGATCTTTGGAGAACTAAAGTGTAACAAGGTATCGATAAGATAATGGTATAAATGATTAGAATCATGGAAGTTTTTAAAATTGAGGTTAGGTTAGTAGATGAGATAGGATCTACCATAGACCATTCTAGAAAGAATTTAGGATGGTTATTCAGATAGGATCTACCATAGAACCTTCTAAAAAAGGCTTAGGACGTTTATTTAGATAGGATCTACCATAAACCATTCTAGAAAGAATTTAGGATGGTTATTCAGATAGGATCTACCATAGAACCTTCTAAAAAAGGCTTAGGGCGTTTATTTAGATAGGACCTATTATAAAAACTTCTAAAAAAGAAATTTAAGGTAGTTTTTTAGATAGAGCCCACCACGTAGGAACATTCTAGAAAGTCTAGGGCGACAGAATAAGATATAAATAGGACTAGTTAGGACTTTTTGGGACTTTTGCTCATGTATGGTTTTGGATCTTTTTTCTTAGTAGAACTTAATTCTGCATCTTTCGGTTCAAATTTTTTTCTATTTGCTTAGTTTTGTCTTTCATGTTCTATTCTATTTAGTTTTGTTCAATTTTGTATTGATCTATTTTGTCCTATCTTGTGATGAGGCTTTATATTTTGTATAGATTAGAAGGATCTTAGATTTTTGAGATAGTCTAATCATGTTTTATTGATATTAGACAGAGTGTTAGACTATTTACTTTTGATAACATGTCAATAGTTATCATCTAGTCCAAGGTCAATTATTATAAGGACACTTGATACTATGTTGAGGCTACCATGAGTTACACTTAAAAAATCAATAGAAAGATGAAAAGGCATTATAATAATAGAGTCTAATAGAAAAATTACAGTATGGAAGATATGACAAAGCAATCTTAGATGGAGGCTCAAATACAATACCTCTTAGACTAGATAACTACTTTGCAAGGACAAATAAAAGCCTCAAGGACAAGAGAGTCGACATCTACTAAGTTGAAATTGGGTAAGCCTAGTACATATTCTTGGACTTCAAAATAAGAAGATATATGTCAATGATTCTTCAATATGTGACAATACATCCAACTATCTAGGAGAAATACCACTGAAGGAATTATATATGCACCTAGCTATTTGAGAGATGTACTAGCTATTTGGTGGTGACTTTGAGTTCAA